GTTTAATATTGCATTTTAATTAATTTAAAACAAACACTATTTTAAGGTTTGATCTTATATCAATTTCTGTTCTGGATTGCATTGGGTGGTTCTGATATGCTTTAAAGGAACACTATAGCGTTAAGAATGTAAACATGTAAGCCTGGAAGGGTTAAACATTTTTAACTTAATCTGTGTCCTTTGCCACATAGGTCTCACAGCTTCCGCCTCACCTCCTTGACCATATTGATAATCTCAGACAATCGGGAAGTATTGGGAGGCTAGTGTGCATCTATCAGCAGCATTTGATGGACAACTTAATGTGACTCATTTCTCACAGGGGAAATGTCTGAAAGCCACTAGAGGTGTGTTTAACCCTGAAATGGAAACTGCAGTTAAAGTTACAAGGGTAAAAGGACAGGTTCTCTGCACAAGGACTATTTCATGGAGATAAAGTAGCCTCGGTGCCTATAGTGCAACAAAAAGAAAATCTCCAGGCACTCAAAGTGTTCAAGCCGTACGCAGATTTAATGGAACAAAAAAGAACAGCAACGTATCGAACTGCCAAAAGGTCTTTGTCAAGCTTGACAAAGACCTCTTGGCAGGGCCGGATTAAAGGACCACTATAGTGCCAGGAAAACATACTCGTTTTCCTGGCACTATAGGGTCTCTAGATGCCCCTCACCCTCAGGGCCCCCCTCCCGCCGGGTGGAAGGGGGTGGAAAGGGTTAAATCTTACCTGTTCCTTCGGCTGAATATGTATGCACGGCAAGCGCCGCGCGCGCAACCAGCCAGTCCACAGGAAAGCATTCTCAATGCTTTCCTGTGGATGCTGGCGTCTTCTCACTGTGTAAATCACAGTGAGAAGCGCGGAAGCGCCTCTAGCGGCTGTCAATGAGACAGCCACTAGAGGCTGGATTAACCCTATTATAAACATAGCAGTTTCCCTGAAACTGCTATGTTTACAGCAGAAAGGGTTAATCCTAGATGGACCTGGCACCCAGACCACTTCATTAAGCTGAAGTGGTCTGGGTGGCTATAGTGGTCCTTTAACATGGGGGCTACCACTACACACTTTGCCACCTGACTGGTATTTTACCAGCACAGCCGGTGCTTTTGGCTGCCTGGCAATACAAATGTAGATATTTTTCTCAGTATAAACAGAGATTACTCTGCAATACCAGCACCAGCCAGTAAGGGTCACTGTGTGTGGAGAGAGGCAGGGAAAGGAAGTTACAGCATATCCTTCCCTGCCTCTCTCTACTCACCGATCTGTGGGAGAGCAGCTACACAGCACAGAGAGTCCAGACAGCAGCTCCCAGCCTGCAGAGACAGCCAAGTGCTCAGGTAAATGAGGGATGGGGGGGAAGGCAGCAGGGAAACATGGGGACACTGAGACACTAGGGGACACTGTGAGACATGGGGATGCGGAGACACATGGGGACGCTGTGAGACATAGGGACAGTGTCCCCATGGCTACCAGTGTCTCAGTGTCCCTAGTGTCTCAGTGTCCACATGGCTACCAGTGTCCCCTAGTCTCCCAGTGTCCACATGTCTCCCAGTGTCCCCAAATATCTGTCTCCCAGTGTCCATGTCTCCTAGCCAGTGTCCTTAGTGCCTCAGTGTCCCCATGCCTCAGTGTCCCTAGTGTCCTCCATGTCTCCCAGTGTCCCCATGTCTATGTCCACAAGTACCTCCATTTCTCCAAGTGTCCCCAAGTGTATCAGTGTCCTCATGCCTCCCAGCCAGTGTCCCTAGTATCTTAGTGCCCCCATGTCTCCCAATGTCCCCTAGTCTCCCAGTGTATGTGTTGCCATGTCTCTCAGTGTCCCTAATGTCTTAGTGTCCCCAAATGTATGTGTCCTCATTTCTCCCATTGTCCCCTAATGTCTCAGTGTCCCCATGTCTCCCAGTGTCCCCATGTCTGTATCCACAAGTGAGCCCATGTCTCCCAGTGTATCCATGTCTCCCAATGTTCCCAAGTGTCTCAGTGTCCCCGGGTCTCTCAGTGTCCCCATTTCTCACTGTGTCCCCATGTCTCTCAGTGTCCCCTAGTATCCTATTGACACGGGAAACACTGAGACATGGTGACACAGGGAGAAATGAAGACACTAAGACATTGGGAGACTAGGGGACTGGGCGACAATGGGACACTGACACTGTGATACATAGGGACACTGATGCCAGGCTGGCCTTCCAATTCTTTGGACAGACATGCCCCCTTTTTGGGCATGTTCGGTCACATGATCCACGTCAGTGGCCCACCCTTTTGCCCCGCCTATTGACTTCCTGCTTCACTGGCCACTGCTGTTAGGGGGTATGGATTTACTTGAAAGATAACAGCATTAATTAGAGAGAGATTAGCATAGAGTATGTGTTTTCTTATAGCTGCATCCTTTGAGTTTCCCTCCAACACTGACACTTGGGAGGTATGGGAGGTTTTAGTGTTTTTGGTAGATAAGATTCTGTAATTAGGCCCCATCATAATTGTCAGCACCAGGCCCACTGGGCTCTTAATCTGGTCCTGCCTCTTGGTAGGTCGAAACGTTGCTGGTCTTTTTTGTTCCATTAAATCTGCATATGGCTGGAACACCCTGAGTGCCTGGAGATTTTCTTTTTGATGCCTTATCATTGTGGGATTGCTGGTCATGTTCCAGTGCACGGAGTGCTCGCTGGGATTGAGTGAGGCTCTTATTTACATCTTTGTAACTCAGTCCCTATTAGTGGTCCTGGTGGTTAATGATTGGTGGTGTAAGTTATCTATTTATTTTGCTTCTGTCTGTTCTTGGTTAGTAATTTTGGGTAATATTTTCTAAAATACGTGATTCCATGCATTCTAACATTGCAATCAGGTATCCCTATCTGAAGGTACCTATAGATCTAATCTTTTCAGATGGATTAGAAAAGGCAGTGCATTGTATAAAACGTAAACTTTTTAAATGATTACATTATTTTTAACCTGCAAAAAAAACTTTTATGGGTAGGCCACGTCATGTTTGGACCTGGAACTTTTATAATGGAAATGTAACATTGTTTTGTACTGTGAGCTGTGATGATAATGAATCATATGCCAAAGCCAAACAAAAGGATGGGGGATGTACTGGGGACAATAATGCAATACTCAGCTAAATTATAGTGTGTCTCTCGCACAGCCTTGCAATGCGTTAACAAAGGATAATCTTCTCGTGCCACAATATCTATCTTGGAAAGAAAAAAAAAAAAGAGGAACATGTTATAGCAGTGTTCGTTCTGATTGTATATCAGAGCACTTGAAGTTATACCAATTAGCTGGCTAGATTAGGAGAACATCTCTGTACATAATAATGCATTTGCACTGTGGTCTTGAATAGGAAAGCAGGATTAGATTGCCTCTTTCAAATATGAATTTTTTTAAATGTGATTACTTTCTGCTCCCCTTCTAAGTTTGCTGGTAAGAAAATAATAGTATTGCTTTATAAAACAGAAGGCAATACTTACTAGAGACTTGAGGAAAAGTGAGATAAACTTAAATAAAAAATGGGTCACCTTAAACTTGGAGCACCCCTTTAATCTGTCTTGTCTCTTGTATTCTTAGTGTGAAATAAAACATTTACTACAATAATCGCTGTGTACTAGGCAATAATGACATTAGAATAATTAATGTACCGTACCATTACAGTAAGTGACATTTCAGACCAATATTTCAGAGATGCACGATGCTTGCAAGGTGGCAAGTTGATTTCTAGAGGTGTCACTCACATAAACTTGCTTTTGATTTAGCGTTGCATAATGGAGCTGTACATTGAATTGCATGCCATGGAAGTATGCATATACATAATGCAAATTGCACTTGAGAATCAATGAATATGCCTGAAAATGTATTTTGGCACGAATGGTTGAAGGGCTTGAAGGGCTACTCCGAGCATCATGATCATTTCAGTGATTTGCAGTGGTCCTGGTGCCTGGAGTCTGTATGTGCAGAGTTCCGTACATACTGAGTTTAAACCCTTTGCGGTTTACCGCATTACGGGGAAACAAGGTCAGGGTTGTTTCACAGGTTGAGGTGCTTATAGTAAAAAAAACACAATATAGTTCTCTTGTGCACTCTACTGAATTGCTCAAAACACCTGTGTCAGAGCTCCTTTTTCACCACCTTAATACTATGTAAAACCAAATAGGTGGAGAAAAAAAAAAAAAGGTCAGCCAATGCTTCTACATAACAGGGTAAAATATTCACTGCAGGAGAAAACCGAAAGTGGAGAAACAATAGAGTAGATGTACAAGGTTCGAAAGTAGTTCGAAATGATTGCAATACTAGCACTCACAAAGGTGGAGCCAATCTAGACACTTGTCTTGGGGGAAAGATGCAATAGGACTAGAAATAGAAAGTCCTGATCCTTCATCTGTGAGATGGTAAATGGCATATGCAGACACCATTCCACCTTGACAATTACAAAGCTTTTTTACACATCCAGTCTGTAGTGTCAGTGACGGTCTTTCAGTGTGTCCTACCAGCTTCTAAAAACGGTGACTCTCTCTGTATAACACAGGAGGATAGCTGCGTGCTCCCAGGTATCAGTGTAAGAACAATAGGTTGTTTTTCTTGCTGCAAACATTGACACTGATGTTTAAACAATCTATTGTTACTCGTAAAGAGGAAAAGATATTGTTATAATCACCAAATGAAATGCGATAAAAAAAAAAAAAAATCCGTAAACACCCATAAATACAATTTATGCTTTGCACAGGGTTCAAGATCGGCATAAAGAAAAACAAAAAACAAAACAGTGGGCCACCTTTATAAAGAAGTAATGTGCAGCAATCTGCCTGTTTGGAAAGATATGCTTAGAACATTGGCGTACATACCGTGGTCGCAGGGGTCGCGGTTGCGACCGGGCCCGGCCCACCAGGGGGCCTGGCCGCCTTGCGACCCGGTATCTACCCAGTGTGGCCAGCCTCTTCTCCTGGGGGGCCTAAGAGCCGGCAACCTCAGGGCCCCCTGAAGCTGGCCCTGGTGTCACCTGGCAGACGGGCTGGCGGGCGCGCGAGGGAGCAGTCTCCCAAGAGTGCTCCCTCTTCAGCTCCCTCGCGCACAGCACTGATGCCGGAGCCGGAATATGACGTCATATTCCGGCTCCGGCATCAGTACACGGCGCGTGAGGGAACTGAAGAGGGAGCACTCAGGGGAGAGTACTCCCTCGCGTGCCTGCCAGCCCGTCCGCTGACCGGCCGGAAGCACCACTGGACCCCAGGGAATCCCCTCAGCTCTCCCAAAGGTAGGGAGGCTGGGGGATTACATATTTTTTTTTTTTTTAAATGTGTGTGTGTTAGAGAGTGTGTGTTAGTTTTTGTGTCAGTGAGTGTGTTAGTTTTTGTGTCAGTGAGTGTGTTAGTTTGGTGTCTGTTAGTGAGTGCGAGTTTTGTAAGTGAGTGTGTATGTATGTCTGTCACTGAGTGTGTGTCTGTTAGCTAGTGTGTATGCGTCTGTTCGTGAGAGTGTGTGTGTCTTCAGCACTTACCTTTCTCCAGCGCCGGACTCCCTCAGCTCCGCTTACTCAAGTGAGAATCGCGGAAGCTCCTCTAGCGGCTGTCAATGAGACAGCCACTAGAGGCTGGATTAACCCTCAGTGAAACATATGCTATGCTATGTTTTCAGCTACAGGGTTAAAACTAGAGGGACCTGGCACCCAGACCACTTCATTGAGCTGATGTGATCTGGGTTGTCTGTAGTGGTCCTTTAAACGTATGTATATCTGCATGCACTGGCGTACATGCAGGGGTCGCAGGGGTACATTTTGTACATAGCGCCAGTACATATTTTGTGGATAATAAAATAGGAATGCATGCATTGCATGGCATTGTTGGAAATCGTATTTCTGTGTCCTATGTGCCATGTAAAATGCCTAGAATGGTCAATAGGAATGTTGCACCAGCTATTAGGCGCACCCCTCTTTCAGTTGTTTTACTTTGGAAATAGGAAAGGACTCAGATTATTAATTCCATGCGTATCGGAACCTGGTGTAGACTGTTCCGCTACCCAGTTCACTTGCAGCACATGATCCAAAGTAATTTTATTTGCTTGTGAGATCTACTGAAAGAGCCCCACAAGTAGTGCTAGATTTGTGAATTTTAGTTTTTCTGCTATCGACCTACCAGTTTCTACTTGTACTTTTTCAGTATGAAACAATCCTGAACCTTGCATATATTTCAATAATTTCTGAGCTAATAATCCCAGTCTTTGCCAAGTAGTTGTCACCTTTTCTGTGAAATACCAACACTGACAATTGTTCAATTATAAGTCTCCTATTCATTCATAAATGTACATTAAAACTTTTATCATGCATCTTCTTGAAGCAAAACAAATGAAGGTGATGAAATACTACTTTTTTTTACTTATTTCAGAAGCACCATAACACTTGTCTTTCATTAAACAATGTATTACTAAAAGGGGCACTGTTAGCATGTTAGCACCAAAACAACTTTAGTTTAATGGAGTGGTTTTGTTGTGTAGGTCATGCCCCTGCCGTATCACTGCGCAATTACTCTAAGCAGCCCTAACCACGACTCCTTTACCTTTTGATTTACATGGTCTCCCAACATAATTCCTATAAAGAGAGATCTTATGTTTAAACTTCCTATATTGCATAGTCTGCATACTTTAGAAATGTCTTATCTCCTACTTAATAGCCTGCTAAAGCATGAAGGAGGCTCCTGTGTGGGGCTAAAGTTACACACTGTGCTGTCAGATCTGAATGAAAATGAAGCAATTTTTTTTTCATATTGGCTGTGAGAGTCACATATAGGGCAGGTGCGGCTAGAACATAAACAGAAACAAAAGTGACAACTCCTAAATGACAGATAATCGAGCCGTGAGACTGCAGAGTCGTGATCTGTGCACCAAAGTCACTCCATTATAGTAAAACAGTTTCACTAAGCTAAAGTTGTTTTGGCCTCGATCCACAAATGCATAAAAAAATTAACAGAAGAATTAAGTTAAGTGACTGATAAATAAGTTATTTTATGTTTAGCAGTCATAAAACCACAACAACAAAGAGCTTACGTACTCTGCCAGCCCGAGGATTGTTTCTCTCTTATATTGGCTGTCGGATGCAAACCTCTGAACATCCACTCCTTTGCCAAGGTTCTGAAGGACCTGGGCTTGTGTAAAATCCATAAGTCGTTCATTATAATAATGCAATTGCTCTATTAAGGTAACCAGTTCCATAGGCCAGTTTGTGTTGGCGTAATCTGAGACGTACTTAGTGACCATTTTGATCAGCTCTCTAGGATCCGCCTAAAATAGGAGAAAAACAAACAATATATCAGGTAGAAAAATAAAAAGGAAAAAAAAAATGATATTTTGAACCAGAATACATACTACACTATAATAATCTGGTTTAAGCCAGTATGCTCCTTTTGTAACAGCTCCACCCAATTCCCTCACATCACAAACAAGCATATATCAGTTTTTCATTTTCTGGAAAAAAAAAGTCCTCATAACACCTGAATCTATATCTATTATTCTATTATATATTTTTTTTGTTTAAAAAAAACTTACATACAGCAAAAAATTTAATTTTACCATGTATATATAAGAAATATGAGAAAATGGGATCCATTGGTTTGTACATCTACCTAGTCTTTGACCCAATCCATCTCTGAAAGTCCTTCTGCCTATCTATCCCTTGCTATGAGATGAAAATAATTGGTCATCTTTCACCTCTTCAGATTTATAAGTCAAAATGATGCTTTATAGCAGGTATCTAACCCTGAAAGGGCACATACAGGGAGTGCAGAATTATTAGGCAAGTTGTATTTTTGAGGATTAATTTTATTATTGAACAACAACCATGTTCTCAATGAACCCAAAAAACTCATTAATATCAAAGCTGAATATTTTGGAAGTAGTTTTTAGTTTGTTTTTAGTTATAGCTATGTTAGGGGGATATCTGTGTGTGCAGGTGACTATTACTGTGCATAATTATTAGGCAACTTAACAAAAAACAAATATATACCCATTTCAATTATTTATTATTACCAGTGAAACCAATACAGGGAGTGCAGAATTATTAGGCAAGTTGTATTTTTGAGGATTAATTTTATTATTGAACAACAACCATATTCTCAATGAACCCAAAAAACTCATTAATATCAAAGCTGAATATTTTTGGAAGTAGTTTTTAGTTTGTTTTAGTTTTAGCTATGTTAGGGGGATATCTGTGTGTGCAGGTGACTATTACTGTGCATAATTATTAGGCAACTTAACAAAAACAAATATATACCCATTTCAATTATTTATTATTACCAGTGAAACCAATATAACATCTCAACATTCACAAATATACATTTCTGACATTCAAAAACAAAACAAAAACAAATCAGTGACTAATATAGCCACCTTTCTTTGCAAGGACACTCAAAAGCCTGCCATTCATGGATTCTGTCAGTGTTTTGATCTGTTCACCATCAACATTGCGTGCAGCAGCAACCACAGCCTCCCAGACACTGTTCAGAGAGGTGTACTGTTTTCCCTCCTTGTAAATCTCACATTTGATGATGGACCACAGGTTCGCAATGGGGTTCAGATCAGGTGAACAAGGAGGCCATGTCATTAGATTTTCTTCTTTATACCCTTTCTTGCCAGCCACGCTGTGGAGTACTTGGACGCGTGTGATGGAGCATTGTCCTGCATGAAAATCATGTTTTTCTTGAAGGATGCAGACTTCTTCCTGTACCACTGCTTGAAGAAGGCGTCTTCCAGGAACTGGCAGTAGGACTGGGAGTTGAGCTTGACTCCATCCTCAACCCAAAAAGGCCCCACAAGCTCATCTTTGATGATACCAGCCCAAACCAGTACTCCACCTCCACCTTGCTGGTGTCTGAGTCGGACTGGAGCTCTCTGCCCTTTACCAATCCAGCCATGGGCCCATCCATCTGGCCCATCAAGACTTACTCTCATTTCATCAGTCCATAAAACCTTAGAAAAATCAGTCTTGAGATATTTCTTGGCCCAGTCTTGACGCTTCAGCTTGTGTGTCTTGTTCAGTGGTGGTCGTCTTTCAGCCTTTCTTACCTTGGCCATGTCTCTGAGTATTGCACACCTTGTGCTTTTGGGCACTCCAGTGATGTTGCAGCTCTGAAATATGGCCAAACTGGTGGCAAGTGGCATCGGCAGCTGCACGCTTGACTTTTCTCAGTTCATGGGCAGTTATTTTGCGCCTTGGTTTTTCCACACGCTTCTTGCGACCCTGTTGACTATTTTGAATGAAACGCTTGATTGTTCGATGATCACGCTTCAGAAGCTTTGCAGTTTTAAGAGTGCTGCATCCCTCTGCAAGATATCTCACTATTTTTGACTTTTCTGAGCCTGTCAAGTCCTTCTTTGACCCATTTTGCCAAAGGAAAGGAAGTTGCCTAATAATTATGCACACATGATATAGGGTGTTGATGTCATTAGACCACACCCCTTCTCATTACAGAGATGCACATCACCTAATATGCTTAATTGGTAGTAGGCTTTCGAGCCTATACAGCTTGGAGTAAGACAACATGCATAACGAGGATGATGTGGTCAAAATACTCATTTGCCTAATAATTCTGCACTCCCTGTATAACATCTCAACATTCACAAATATACATTTCTGACATTCAAAAACAAAACAAAAACAAATCAGTGACCAATATAGCCACCTTTCTTTGCAAAGACACTCAAAAGCCTGCCATCCATGGATTCTGTCAGTGTTTTGATCTGTTCACCATCAACATTGCGTGCAGCAGCAACCACAGCCTCCCAGACACTGTTCAGAGAGGTGTACTGTTTTTCCTCCTTGTAAATCTCACATTTGATGATGGACCACAGGTTCTCAATGGGGTTCAGATCAGGTGAACAAGGAGGCCATGTCATTAGATTTTCTTTTATACCCTTTCTTGCCAGCCACGCTGTGGAGTACTTGGACGCGTGTGATGGAGCATTGTCCTGCATGAAAATCATGTTTTTCTTGAAGGATGCAGACTTCTTCCTGTACCACTGCTTGAAGAAGGTGTCTTCCAGGAACTGGCAGTAGGACTGGGAGTCGAGCTTGACTCCATCCTCAACCCGAAAAGGCCCCATAAGCTCATCTTTGATGATACCAGCCCAAACCAGTACTCCACCTCCACCTTGCTGGCGCCTGAGTCGGACTGGAGCTCTCTGCCCTTTACCAATCC